GCAGGATAATTTTTTTTTAGGCAAAAGTGCATTCAGTGCAACCAAGAAAGTCTCAGTTGAAAAATAAATGTTGTGCTTTTAGCCGACGGATCTTCCCATCCACCAATGGACACAGACCGCACGCTCCAAATTAGATGGATCATGGTGAACAAATGGTCATACAGCGCTCAATGAATTAATAATAGCCACTTCCAATGCATTCCCTTGAATGGTGAACCATCAATATTACACCACTCCTCCTCCCTCAAGAATGAGCACGCAATTTCCTCAAAACAACTCTCCTCCTCAGCGTTCCTGCCGGCCACATATAAAGCCGCAATAGGGTATCACAGACATCCGTTCAGAGATCCACACAGTATGGCCGATTAGCTTCCTGCTGTCCAGTGGGTGACGTCAGCATGTACGCGGCGAAGGTTGGATACACGCCGACGTCACCCACTAGACACCAGGAAGCTAATCGGTATCACTATGGAGCACGGAATACACACCATGAACATTATATAAACTGGGATTTGAGTCTGTTTTATTGGATGATATTTTTTAGCGCTGGGCATTTGTGTTGCATTGTTATTAGTGAGAACTTTATTGCTCCTTTTGCACAGCAGCTTTTATATAGTATTTAAGTAGGAGGTTAGATTAGGAGCGCACATTTTTTTATTCAAACTTTTTTTAGTTGCCAACGCCATTAACAATTAAAGAAACCTGAAGAGTTAGGTGCCAGCTGTAAATTGTAAGGAGTATGGGCTACCAAGCTCCCGGGATCTGCCCAACCCTGACCTACACATTATAATACTAAGCACGGAAAGAGAGGACTTCAAAGGCCAGGTTCACACCATTCTCGGACGAGATCTGGAACGCTGTGCGATTTTACCGCATTTCTGAAGCGGGGTTTTATTTTTTTTTTGCTTAAAATGGGCTTTCATGTGTGTGGTCCAGTGGGTTTACATGCCTTTTTGATGCGTTTCCATGCGTTCCAGACCAGAGAAAATGAGACTAGCAGTATTTTCTATGTTTGGTTCGGAACGGACTGCTCTGGTGTAAAACAGAGCCCAGAAATACCATAGGGATACATTGGGATTTCTTTTGGTCCGGGAACAAACTGTTCTTGTCTGGATATGATCTGGACATGGTGTGAACAAGTCCTAGGTCAAAAGAAGAAAATCTTAAACGACAGATCACATATGGCCGTCAATTCTTTTCCCATAGCACAATATGTACAGATAAAGCTTGTCTAGAAGGCACTAGTCCTATCTACCCCCCACCAAAATGACAGATTATACTGCACACCACTGAGTGGAAATAGCAGAAGAAAGGTGATTTCTGCTGAAACATCACATCTTCTATGTTTATCACATCCCCTAAAGTCTCTCATTTTACAGATGGCTCTAAAGTAGCAATATCACTGATATGAATGAATGTTTTTCAATGAAGACCAGCAGACTTTCTTCATGCTGAGCGCACAGGATCTTCACATTCCAGCTGCTTCACAGGCTGGCGGCTGAGGAATAACACGTAAGCAATGTGTCTGTTTTGAGGAGGATAACACGTGTAAGCTTAGCTGGCATATTACATTACAAGTTCAGAACAAAACACAGGAGACAACAGTATTATACGCCCCTACAACACACCGACTACGTCAAACATGCACTACTGGCTAGAAAAGCAATGCTGGAATCTGTAGTTCTTTACAACCAAAACTTGGGCAAGAGGACAGTCTCAAATATATAATTAGTAGTGGGGATTAGAGAGACCTTCACAAGTCCCATCGTCCAAGTTGCCTCCAGCCTCCTCAAACCAATGCGTGTATATGCATGTTAGAACACTCAAAAACACAAAAAAAAAGAAAAAGCCTTAAAATGTCAGCGTCCTAGGAGTAAACAGGGCCTAAGGTCTAAGAGACCCATAGCGCCTCCCTCCCCATTGGCCCGAGCAGTACTAATAGGGAGAAAGAAGAAAAAAGCTGGAGGCAGCCTGGATGATCGGACCTGTGATGGTCTGTATAATCCCTGTTATTAATGATATATTGGATACTGTTCTCTGGAGTTTGCTTTAAAGTGACACTAAACTCAGGAGTTAAATATTAAAAATGCATTCAAGTACCCTAATTAGGCTAGGTTCAGACCTGAGCGATACCTGGGACCGCGGCGCAAACATGTGCTAGTGCACACAGCGGTTGCCATGCGGCCCCACTGATTTCAATGGGGTTACATCCACGTGGCAATCGCTAAAATAATTTTTTTTTAAAAAAAAGGTACAAATACATTTTATTACAACACACGACGCGTTACTTTTTTTTTTTAAGGGAAATCGCACGATCCACCCAGCGAGACTGGGTTGCCTTTGGAAAATAATGGCACTGCTAGCACGATTGGCCTTGGTGGGCGACTCTGACCACCCGGCAATCCGCGCGGTTTTGTGCACAATTGCCGTGTGATCAGGAATCACCCAGTTGTGAACCGAGTCTTAACAGAAATGTATCTTATTTGTGTACATTCAGCTGTAGATCCTCAAATCATCTCTGAATTGGTGCTGACACTGTCCTTCCTCTGGATGGTGGCTACTTCTGTTCCCCATGGTCCGTGTGTGTGTGTTGTACAGTGGCCACCTCTCCAAGCTCACTCCTGTGATGGACTACAATCGCAATACAAATGAGTAAACTGAATGTGAGATTGCAGTCCATCGTGGGCGTGAGCTTGGGGCGGTGACTACTCTACAACACACACAGGGACCATTGGGAACAAAAGTAGCCACCCTGCAGAAGGAAGGACAGTGTCAGCACCAATTCAGAGATGATTTGAGGATCTGCAGCCAAGTGATACACAAATAAGATACATTTTGGTTAATAGTTCAGGTACTGGAAATGTATTTTTAGGGTTTAACTCCTGAGTTTAGTGTCACTTCAATGAAATATTTGATACTGTCTACCTGCTCGGAGTTTGCCTATAACAGCTGAGGGATTACATTGGAAAGATGTTGCTCTCTGTAACAGAAACTTGTAGCCAGCATGCATTGAGAAGAAGTGGAGTAGGTCGGAGAGGCCGGACACAGCATATGGCTGCACACTCTGCGATGAGTCAGTCTTCTGAACCATCCAGGTGTTTCATGTATAAGCGGAGGGTGAAGGTTGAGTAATCATCCACACACTAGATTTATTAGCAGAGAACAATCAAACAGCAGCTGGAACAGATCTACCAACAGCTGGAAACATGTTTGAACAATCACAAGCTGGGGGTCTGCTGCAGCTCCTTAACTGTTGAATCAGTTGCATGACTGGAACACATTGCACAGCCTACAAGCTCTTTATCAGATAGGCCCAGACTGAAGATCTCCTCCATCAGTCTGAGAAGACCAGAGGCAATCATTATAAAGAGACGAGGAGCAACTGGACCATTCACTCACAAATCAGAGAGAAAAACCAAAGGCTTTTCCACTATTCACTAGAGATCAGAAACATCCTCATTGTGCTGGCTGACACACATTGTCAGATTTTACCCACCTGAGCTGATCAGTTGTCACCGATATCAGACATCTATTGCACTTGGGGGTGGAGCCTGTCTTGTAGTCCTGGTGCTGCCTATCCAGCTGACTAACAGCACCTCTGACAGCAAGACCTTCACTGGACTACTGAGGCCAACATTGGACAGAGCCCATTATGTATCAATAAATCTGAATGTAGGGCTGTAAACAACTAATCGATAATGAGAATAGTTGTCAAGTATTCTCATTATTGATTAGTTAGTTGGATCCCCTAGCTCTCTCCTCCACACTGGTAAGGAGGGCACAGCAAGCAGTGAGCTGGTGCAATAGTCAGCCTGCTATTGCAATTTGAAATGGCCAATAGCAGGCTGGCTATTGCACCCATCCACTACCTGCTGTATTTACATTCAGCTGCTGTCTGCGGAATCTTACCCCCGGCAGCTGTCATTCCCCGGCTGAAGCTATTCCAGCGCCATGTGCTTACACTACAATTATTTTTTAAAATGTATATAAGGCGGGAAAAAAAGTAAATTTTTGGTTTCGGTCTGACAAATGCACCCTAATCGCACCTCCCACCAACACTGTGATCGCCTGCACTGGAACGCACAGTACCGCAATGCCTTTTGTTCCAGTGCAGTGCGATTGCAAAATATTGTGTGCAGTTTTATTCTGAAATAAACTTTATGTATTTTATTTTACATGAAGGATGGGATTTATGTATTTGAATCCAATTAAAATCACAAAAACTATTCGGCAACTAATCGATGATGGAAATCATCATTATTGCTGCCCTATCTGAGCGACTCCACGTCACCCCAGGCTGGCAGTGTTCAGTACAGGTGATGGTATAGGACAGTATAAGTATCATATATACCAGTGTCACCCCAGGCTGGCAGTGTTCAGTACAGGTGATGGTATAGGACAGTATAAGTATCATATATACCAGTGTCACCCCAGGCTGGCAGTGTTCAGTACAGGTGATGGTATAGGACAGTATAAGTATCATATATACCAGTGTCACCCCAGGCTGGCAGTGTTCAGTACAGGTGATGGTATAGGACAGTATAAGTATCATATATACCAGTGTCACCCCAGGCTGGCAGTGTTCAGTACAGGTGATGGTATAGGACAGTATAAGTATCATATATACCAGTGTCACCCCAGGCTGGCAGTGTTCAGTACAGGTGATGGTATAGGACAGTATAAGTATCATATATACCAGTGTCACCCCAGGCTGGCAGTGTTCAGTACAGGTGATGGTATAGGACAGTATAAGTATCATATATACCAGTGTCACCCCAGGCTGGCAGTGTTCAGTACAGGTGATGGTATAGGACAGTATAAGTATCATATATACCAGTGTCACCCCAGGCTGGCAGTGTTCAGTACAGGTGATGGTATAGGAAAGTATAAGTATCATACCAGGTACACCCCAGGCTGGCAGTGTTCAGTACAGGACTAAATACAGAAAGTGTATGGGACGTGCTCTCCCCATATGTGCTGCTCCCAGGCCCCTCTCTCACCTCAAACATGAGCCCAAGCAGGAAGAGCATGGCCAGGCAGGAGACGATGTCAGCATGGTTCTGGATGATGAACTCATGGCTCAGCACCGGCGGGGTCTTGCTGGTCTTCTTGCGGATGCCCATGATGACGGATGGCGCCTGTCTCTCACACTCAGCAGGGCAGAGACGGTGCACTGCCTCCTCCTCCGCCTGGGATGACGCTGTACACACTAGATGTTCCCACCACGTCAGCACTCTAGGGAGGAGCTTCGCCGTGAAGCTCTCATGTGACCAGCGACACAACGTGCCTGGCGCGCCATCTTGGTTACTGGGAAAACTCTTACACTTCCAATCTGTCTACATTTGCTTCTCCACCGTCTGTGGAAACACGGGTCCCAGCGTGATAAGTCAAAGGCATGCCGGACTGTGTGCCCCCACAGCAGCTAGAACAGAAAGGATAGCTACAACTGTAGTTTTTAACAAGAGATAATTTGCTGAACATTTGCCAGTAGTCTTTATCATTGATAGCACTTATGCTATAGCCATGTGTGTATCGCATATAACTTGGGAAACACGTTATGCCTACTTTGCTGCCACTACTCCGCTGTTCATAAACGCAATCTGCCAGTAAGAAAGATGGCTAGCCGGCCCGTGACGTCACCATCTAGTGAGACGTCGCGCTACGGAGTCTATTTGGTGATGCAGGGGGCGGGGTGTATGTGGTCCAGTAAGGATGTGGTATTCAGCGGTTGGCTAACTTTCCTATCACGTGGTTGTGTATTTTCCTCACCGTGTGTACTTTGCTGGTAATCAGACGCTGTGTACAGTGCGGCCTGCTAATGGACTTCCATGTCTCTATTGACAAAGGAGCATTATCAATATACTGTCCCAATGTCATGTCACATCGTTCAGCTTTGTGTTACTGCCAAACATGCATTATGTGTATGGACAACTGTAACTCCCAGTGTAAATCAGATCAAACCTAAAGGGGTGCAGAGCCTTGGGCTCCTGCACACCAGGTGCATAGATACAACACAGTAACAATAGGATTGCCGCCTTTTCTTCCAGTGAAACCCGAACACTAGCGACGCATGGAAATTTATGGGGAAGAATGAGTCATGTCTTATTCATATGTAAATAGCGCCACCCATTCATATGTAAATATCACACACAAAACTGTTTTGGGTGGCAATAGGCCTTATCTTAATGTTGGTTGCCCCTGTCTGCCTGACCTCTTTTGTCTGGGTTTCAGCTGCCATGAAACCTGGACACAGCATTTAAAACCCGGACACTCCGGGTTAATCCTGTACAAGTGGCAACCCTAAGTGGCACTGAGGGCCTATTAACACCATAGAGTTGTACAAAACGCATGGGATCTGTGACTTTAACGCATGCTAAGTGCACCAGTTCATTGCCATTCATGAATAGGGCTCCAGCTACCGATTCTTGTCATAATCGATTAGTTAGCTGATTATTAACTTCTATTAATCGAATATAATTTTAAAAATTAATACCGTCATTTATGTAAAATAAAATACACAAATGCAGCGTTAAAGACAAAGTTTACTTCAAAATAAAACAATATGCAAATTTTTTGAAATTGCACTGCACTGGAATACAGTGCACTGCAGTACCTCACTTTCCAGTGCGGGCGATCACACTGGGGACGAGAGGTGCAGTTGGGATCCATTGAAATGAATGGCCCTGCAAAGCACCTCCAGCAGCAAAATTTGTCATGCCAAAACTGAAAATGACTGTTCCCGCCATATATATATATAGCTATATATATCTATGTATACTAGAACTATGAGGTGAGTGACAATCACTCATCTCATAGTTCTCCTTTAAGACAAGAGAAAGCTGTTAGGAGGGGGGCGGGGGGGTTAGTGGGGTGTCATAAATGTTGGACCTGGGAGTAAAAAAATGCACCCTGATAATCAAGACAGAAAAAATAAACATAGGATGACAAATAAACCCTAAACAGATCAGGTATATACCACATACATGAATATTGTGATGTTCTGTAGATTCATAAAAAGTTCTGGTAGTGTGACAGAAAACCAGAATCCACATGGCTCCTTTATGAATCAGAATCCTCCTTTATGTCACATGCTGAACACTGTATCTTGTACACCACGTTAGCAGATGTGCATGAGTATGACCCCTTAATGGTGTACGCTTTGTTATTGTGACTCGCTGTATTTCTGTCACATATATGTTGGCAAAGTTTGCAGCAGGGTTTATTGCATTGTACACATGCCATTCTGTGTAAGCGCCTGTTCTTGGGTCGGCTTACTGCGTACCAATCTTCATCTCAGGTTCAGTGGTTGCTTGAAAGCCAGTATTGGGGGCTGAGGGAATATTTAAGTATGGGGTCTTCTGAGAGTACTGGCTGTAGATCTTTGATGATTTTGCATATTACCTCTAGAGTAGGGTTGTAGGTAACTACAAGAGGGGTCCTGGTTGGGTTTTTCTTCTCTTTGTACTGTAGGAGTCTTTCCCCTGGTTTTCTCAGGGCAGATTAAATTTTTTTAGAAATAGTATTTTCCCTATAGCCCTTTCGCCGAAATGCATCAGCCAGTTACTCATGTCACCAGTGGCGGAACTACCAGGGTCGCAGAGGTTGCGGCCGCGTCCGGGCCCTGGAGTTCCGCCACTTGGAGGGGGCATAGGACAGGAGGAAGGGGCCCCTGGTAACCGCTGATTACCAGGATATTTATTATCCCGGTAACCGCTAATGTCAGTCCCGGGACCTCTTCCTCCTG